TCCAAAAAAATTGCATTCATTTTGATATCGAGGTAAATCTAAATACCGTTTGATAAACTTTTTATATGTCACTTCTCTTACACATGTTTTTATTTTTATTTTTTATAACAATTTTGGACGATAATCCGTTAGGATGCAATAAAAAGAAGTTATGATGTATATTTCTTTTTTATTTTTTGGTGATGAAATAATTGAAATTATTTTATAAACCCTAAAAAATGTGTCATGTCTCCTACAATTATAACTTTTGTTTATGTAATAGACCAAATGAATCCGACCATCGGGTCGGGCCCTACTCTAGTACTTATATAAGGGAGTTCACTAGACTTGGTGGTGGCGACGGCGAGTGGGAGGTCGACGGGGGAGGCTAAGGGGTGAGGGTTTTCCTCGTGTATAGGAGAGAGGGGTTGGGTCGAAGATATGAGGATTAGAAGAAAGAATTTTTTTTATTTTTTAATTAATACGATAATTAGGTGGAAACTTTAAAATGTTAATTTATTATTTTTAATTGCTCCACATCACTCATTTAATAATCAACTATAAGAGTTGATTGTCACATCAAACAAAGTTAACGGAGTTGGACGGAATTTCACCAAACTTGAAAGGTGTAACTGAATGACTACAAATGAAATAAAATAATTTTAGTGACAAAAATGAAACTTTTTAGTAATTCTAGTGACCAAACTTGTAATTTACCTTTTTCTGCCTAGTCCAGTAATAGCACTCGCCACACCTTATCCTAAAAAAATAATGAATCGCTATTCGTCACCCTATAATTTGAATTATATCACCCTAAATAGTACTAAATTAACATTTATACCCTATACCCAATTTCAATCACTAATCGCTGACTCGGATTGTCGTCCAGACCACCAACCTTCCGACCACCGCTGTCGTTCCCCCAACCTGCCGCCGCTTCCATTCCCCCACTCCGCCAACCTGTTGTTGCTGAGGAAGGAGAAAGAAGAAGCATGAGGTAGAGTTTAATGGTTATAGTTATATTTAACTTATATTTAGTCAGCCGCTGTCGTTCCCCAGCCGCCCACCGATCCGCTGCTGCGGTTTCTTTTTCCAACACAGGCAATTTCATTCGTTGATTTCTAGCATTCATTCAAGAACAGACAGATTGCAAACACAAAGGGGCACCAAAGATCAATCAATTTTCGACTTCTTATCACCCAACCTAGCGTTCATTTCATTGCAGAATCAATCAATGAAGATCTGCCAAAACACACATATTGAAATTACAAATTCCCAGCCATTCAAAGGCAACACGGCAATGCCCATGATTTTTTCCAAAACTATTCGAAGCTAACTTCAGAAGCCAACAATTACCATTCCAATTTATGCAGTAGTTAACTACTTACGATTATCTGAAAATATAACTAATTTGCAGGGAAAAGTGAAAAGGGAATTTAACTGGCACGACAGTAAATGAGTTCAGTCGGCATCAAATTGCTGTCTTGAAGAGGCAAATCGATTAATGGTGGCGGTGCAGTGGGCAGGGGGGCGAAGTAGTGATGGTTAATTCAGAGTATTTAAGTCATTTTTAATGAAAGTTAGGGCGACGAATAGCAATCCCCAAAAGATATTACACCCGCTACAAATTGATCTACGAAACACTGTAAGAGTGGCAAAGTAACTTGGAATGGTAGCACATGGAGGATTTGCTTCCCGATATCCAAAGCTGGAATATGACCAACTCTGTCAAGCATACTTAGCAGTGACATCTTATGGCCAGGACCCAGGAGTCAGGACAGACAACTATCCTATTAAAATTACACCAGAGTAAAATCTCAAAGGACCGGTTCAGGGCGATGTAGATTCTCCAGCATCTAAAGGTTCTTCTGGTGCTGTAGAAAACCTCTTTCAACAACTACTCATGACTCCTACAGTGCGGAAAACAAGACATTGATTCTCACTTCTCAACTGTCAGATGCTCACCTACATGCGAACGCATCCTATTTCAGCATTGTGGCTCCATGGCGTTCATAATCCTAACTCGAGGAATCTAAGTCACGTTGAGCAAAACCAACATAATCTCTTGAAGAATGGGAATCTAGGACAGGGCCCAGGGGTAGTACTTTTATCTAATAATGTCAGCTTTTTCACAGTTGAACCATGGATACCAACACACCCATACTAAAGATCAGTCTCCTCTCCAAAACACTGATCCCAGACTCTGAAAAAGGTCTTCTAATCAGATCATTCAATGAACTGAGCTAGCCATTTCATAACCACACGAATCTATTGCTGCCTGCGAGGACTTCAAAGTCTAAACAGAAGAAATTCTACATTTGGCGAATACCTACTAGGCTACTACAAGTACAAACACTTGAGCATAGAAGAAGGCAGCACCTTTATCAGCCTGTTTGGATAGACAAAAAACTCAGGAATTGGAATTCCATTTTCAATTCCAATTCCATATTTTATGTTTGGAAGGATAAGAAGGTTGAGAAATGAATTCCATTTGGGCTAAGTTTTGGGAATTACAATTCCTATAAAAAATGATAGGAATTGTGTTTATGGAGATGGAATTAGTGGGTCCCATCACTATTTATTATTATTTTATTAACCAACTATCACACTACTCTCTTTCTCTATCATTCATATTTCATTTCCCAAGATAAAATAAATATATTATATTATTAATTATTGTTAAAAGTGCAATTCATTTCTTTAGTTGGAGGAATTATACCAAACACTAAAATTGGAAATGGAATTCTATAAAAATAGGAATTGGAAATAGAATTCCATTTCCATTTCTTCTTGAATTGTATCCAAACAGGCTGTATATACCTAGACCTGACGTTCCTGATACTTGAATTACGGTCAAGTTTTTCAATTGTTGAGAAGTTCGCATGATACAAGAGATCGACAGAGAGTTAGTTTTTTTCTTCGAAGAGTAATAATATCAGCAGAAGAATAGTCTCGAGAAGACATACCTATTGACATTAATGTAGGCTTAGCAAGTGGAACCCAAAAGAAAAGATCATCTTCTCATTTGTCTCTCAGAACATCAACAGATTCGTTGCTATCCCAACAACAAAAGGTTCCATCAATAACCGCGTCAAGAAGTAAAAGACGAATCCCAAAGCTATTGAGATCGGGAGAGCTGGCAGAGCTTGACGGCAGACCGACAACAAAATGAGAGTGCAGCCAAGCCCTGAAATAATAGCAAGGTAGCATGCATACACTGTCATTAGATCATACATTGCAGCCCTACCAACAAGGACACTGTAGAAAATGAAGTCTCCTAGACCCAGCTTAATCCCACTACTTGCTAACTCAGACTCCGAACCATCATCATCCATCCCTCTCTCGGCACTCTCATTCCCACTGCCACGTCTCCTAGACTCAACCAGAGGAGATCTTTCTTCGTCTGCAACAATCTGAGGGGCATCACGACTGCCAACAACTACCGAATACTCTGATCCAACACTGCTTGAAGATGACCTTCCACCCAAACCACCACCCACCAGTGGAGACCTCTCAACTTCATCTCCTTGTCGCAGAAGACCTTCCAAATTCCCTGGATTCGTGGACTCGGATACAATAACTTCTGGATGCACATTCTGCTCGCCACCTTCCCTAGTCCCAATGTGGTTCCCAGAGACGGGTTGCATCTCCACTGATCCCGATTGTGAAGCTGCAGCAAACAGAAGCTCCAAGCTCCGGCCTTGATGACGTGAATCGGCAGAAACAGTTGGCCGTGCTTCATATATCAGCGCCGGTAGCTCCTCGTCCCTGCTTTGGGACAGCTCGACCAACAACTTGAGTGGCCCAGCAGGTGCCAGAACTGCAACCAAATCATAGATTGCTAATGCTACTAGCAGTGTCCAAGTAGTCCATTCTGGTAACTTCGTAAACCAAGCTGCCACAAATATTCCCAGTGCTACCATATATGATTGCCTCAAGAAGATTGGTATGCCACTGGAGAAGACCGATAATACACCCACAATTGTAAAATTGAACAGCAAAACAAAGCAGGTGATTGAATCGACGGGTACTGAGAAGTGCTGAATTATTGACAGGAAAATCGAGCCCCCCATGCTCCCTGGCGATTTAGTAACGAACAAACTCAAGAATCAGAATCAAACCCACCAAAACGAGCAGAGGATCAAAGCTAGGGAAGTGGGAGATTATCCTACCCAGCACGAAAAATGCGGAAAAGCGCATGTAATTCTTCAAGAATCCGGTCCAATTGTAGTAGTAGAGCAGAACGAGAAGGAAAGTGACGACGGCAATTATGATGACGAAAACCAAGGCATTGAGCAAGGCGCCCTCAAGCTTCTGGACAGTGGAGTCGGTGGGTACCTCCAGGTAAACGAGGTTAGCAGCGGAGCGAATCGGCGGCGCTGAATCGGTGGCAGGGGAGAGGGAGTAGACGATCAGAACTACCAGAAGCATGCAGATCGAGACTGGGGACATTACTCCGATGATCTCCACCCCGATTGATTCCAGTATGCTCGACTCCATTTCCAGGTTCGTCGGAGTCGAGAAGACCTTTTCTGGGTCTTTCCGGTTCAATGCATTTTCCCGGTGGGGAGCATTTGTAAAATTAGGGTTGTTCTATTGAATTGGGAATTGTACTGTTTACTGCTTCTTGGTTGGACCGACCAACTGGTTTGGGATTAGATCGACTGAACCAATATTCTAATTTCATGAATGGACACATCCTTTTGGCCTAGTGGCGGTTGCATTATTTTAGGGTTAATTGCATGGTTGGTCACTGAGATTACAAAAAACGTTCATGTTTGGTCACTATAAATATTTAAATCCAATCTTGGTCACTCAAATTAGTTAAATGGTTCAAGTTTGGTCACTCTCCGTCCAACTCCGTTAAATTTGTCTGATGTGACAGTCAACCCTCAAAATTGATCGTTAACTCAGTGATGTGGCAATTAAAAAATAATAAATAAAATAAATTTTAATCTTCTACCATTTTCAACTCATTTTCACATTAAAATAAAATAAAAAAAATAAAAAAAATATTATAATTACAAAGGGGCGCTTCCTCCCTCTTCCTCTTCAACAACTCCTCCCTCCCCGGCGCCGCCATCTCCGCCTGCCGCGCTCAAGCAAGTACATCCCGGGGAGTCCCCGTTCTCCGGCAACTTGGCCCTCTTGGTGCGGCGGTAGTCGGCGGAATCATCGACTAAAATGTCGAGAACTCGCTCCGCTTCCCGGAGCTTATTCGCGAAGCTGAGAAGCTGAGAATCCCGCGATTTGATCTCCCTGGAAAGCCTCTGCTTCGCATCTTGTAGGTCGAGGATTTGCTGGAGCTCAACGACGGCTTCGAAAAGCTGAGCCTGGAGAGAATTGAAGAGCGTAAGGATCTCGTTGACGGAGGAAGGGGCGGATTCGAGCGGAGGCGGAGGCGTGGAGTGCGACTGCGAGGCCAGGAACGTCGGGAAGGTGCCGCGGAAGGCGCTGAGCCAGTGAGAGCGATTGGGAGAGACATCGAAGAGCTTGGAGACTAAAGAGGCCATCTGAAGGAGCAGAGATTGAGCTCTGGGGAGAGGAGAGAAGAGAGAGAGGAGAGCGGAAGAGGAGGTCTTCGTGGCGGAGGAGGAGGGGGCATTTGAAGAAGATGGGTGATGGTGGGATTGGGATGCAACAGAGGAGGAGGAGGGGAATTTGGGCGGCGAATTAGGGTTTGTGAGGCCAAGCCTCGCAGGCGATTGCACGATTTTGTAATTATATTTTTTATTTTATTTTATTTTAATGTGAAAATGAGTTAGAAATTATAGAAGATTAAAATTTATTTTATTTATTATTTTTTAATTGCCACGTCACTAAGTTAACGGTCAACTTTGAGGGTTGACTGCCACATCAGATAAATTTAACGGAGTTGGACGGAGAGTGACCAAACTTGAACCATTTAACTAATTTGAGTGACCAAGATTGGATTTAAATATTTACAGTGACCAAACATGAACGTTTTTTGTAATCTCAGTGACCAAACATGCAATTAACCCCATTATTTTATGGATAAGGATGACCTTACGGATAAGCACAACCTTATGGATAGAGACAACCTTTCATATTGATAATGACAACCTTTCATATGGATGAAGGCAATCCTTCATATGGATAAGGACAACCATTCATATGGATAGAGGCAACCTTTCATATGGATAAATGCAACATTTTGAATGGATAAAGGTAAAAGCAACCTTTCATGAAACAATGCATGAATTCAGACCCTATAAATATATGTGTGGGATGGATGATGCCACATACCATCAAACAAATTCTTCTTCTTTCTTCCAAAAATTTCTAAGTATGCTTTAGTGTTCTTGAGCCTAGAACCTAAAGTGGTGATAATTTTATCCTCGGGAGAAATTTCCTGTAACCCAATGCTTTTATAGAGGGTGGAAATATTCTTTTCAGAAAATGAACGTTGGTCAGGACTCTATCACAATCCTGGTCACCCGATCTCGGGCTATCGTACGTGTACCCTCATCTCAAAAGCCCAACAATCAAAAAGAATAGTTTCTGGTACGATGGCTCGAACTGCTCTTTACAAGAAACCAATTCAGGTCTATAGAATTATGAGAATGTTTGATGATGAGTTTTTCATCAATTGCAGTAGAAGATGTCTTTTCTCTGTACAAGTCTCATGGTGTATTCCATATCCGGAAGGTAACCTGGAAGAGGGATGATTTGAAGATGAGGAAGAAGGAGAATGCTTCGTAAAATAAAGAAATAAGAGAATGACAATTACCTTTGTGTAGGTCTTATACTCAATGGTGTAATTTATCCGATTCTCTATTTTGACATTTACAAAGTCTTAGACAAATTTTGATTTGTCTAAGTGGTTTGATATTGTGATTTTGTCTAGTGGTTTATGTTATTTTAAACCAAGGAGACAAAAGTGTATATACAATGTTTGATGATATTGGTAATAGAGTCGTCATATGTTTGTATGTAGATGATATATTTATCTTTGAGACCAATCAAAGATAGGTGGACTTTACAAAAAAGCTTTTGTCATCTAAAATTTCCCATGTGGGACATGGGGGAGGAAAAGTGATTCTGTGTATTGAATCAAGCGAAACGATAAAAATATTTCCTTCTCTCAATTTTTCTGCATGAGAAGGTACTTGCAAAAATTTCATAGTAGGAATTGTCGTGAGAAGGTACAAGCAATTTGATCATTGCGTTATCTCGTCATTTGACAGATGATCGTCTCATATGGCACTATTCTCCTACAAGATATTACACTGTTTTGGAAGTTGCTGTGGAATCTTCCAATGCCGCCGAAGCTCAAAATTTTCTTTTGGAGGGTGGTTAGAAAGTTTCTTTCTTTGCAAACAGTCCTACTAGAGAAGACTTTGTTGACCTCAGCCACTTGCCCTGTTTGCTCAGACGGCCCGAAAACATTTAACCATTGCTTTTTTCATTGCAGGGTGGCTCGCCCTTTATGGATTCTTGCTGGTTCTGTAGATGTCTGTAACAGCTTAGAAAACTTGCAAATGGATGATGCGTGGAAGACCCTGTTCTTCTCGCTCCACCTTTCTAAGTTGCATATAGCAGAGGTGGTCTTTCTTTCTTGGAGAGTATTGAAAGGGCGATGTTGGGCAGTCCACGACGGCATACAATATCTACCTTCAACTCTTCTCCGACTATTCCGATTCCAAGTGGATGAGTGGCGAGCAGCTAATGCTGACGCATGTACGGCTCCAAGATCTTCCTCCTCTTCAGACCCAGCACCCCAGCGCAGGCCCAACCAAGACTTGTCAAGTATAATAGTCTCGCGCATAATGAATACGCCAGTGGCTGCTTCCCACGCCTTTCTGGTGCGGTTTGATGGAGCTGTCAAAAGGGATCATGGAGTCAGCATTGGCTTCATCGGATTCGACTCCCTTGGCGCTCTTCACTTTTCACTTGGTAAGTTTTATGATGGGATCCAAGACCCTTTCCTCGCTGAACTCTTAGCACTCCGTGATGCTATGAACTGGTGACTAACTCGGGGTTTCTTGTCTGTCAAATTCTTTGGTGATTCCCAATTGGTGGTTCGCCGAGTTCTGTCTTGGTTCGCCGAGTTCTGCTAGAAGATGCTCACATACTATCGCAGGAGTTTGAGTTCTGCTCTTGCTCGTACGCTAATTGTAGCTTAAATAGGGCCGCCCATTTTGTGGCAAAACAAGACATTTCATCGGAAGTTCGAATATTGGTCGACTTCCGCACGGTGTTATATTCTGTACTCTGACTATGTGACTCATTGATCTACTTCCTATCTATGCAAGTAAAAATTTGTCGTGAGTTAAAGACCCTAATGGATCCAAGTATGGAACTTATGGTTAATACTGGAAATAAGTTTTACAACTGGAGTAATCCATGTTAAATTGGATGCTTGATTCAATGACTTGCATAAAACTATATATCATGTTGTGGTATGACCATTAAGTAGGTGTTTGAGTAATCCTAGTGCTCATTATATGACTTGAAATGAGGCATGTACTAGGATATTGCAAAGATACATTGTATTGGCTTATAGTGGCTTTCCATCCATTTTGGAAGGATTTATTGATGTTAGTTGGATTTCTCATGTTAAAGCGGATACTTCAACATCGAGAAGAATCCTCTTGCATGAGGGAGGTGTCATATATTGGGCCTCTAAAAAGCAAATTTGCATCATTGGTTTCACTATGAAGTCAAAATTATGTGATGGTTGAGAGATTTGGTTATGATATTCTTTCATGGCCTAAACAAATCTTACTTTATTACTATCTTTTTTGTAGTAATGTTACATTGGCTAAGGCAAATAGCCAAGTGTGAAATGAAAAGTGTGGTCATGTCGGAGTTATACACGGTAAAATCTATGAATTGATCACTTATAAATTTGTCTATGTACACGTTACGTGAAGATTCTAACTTGAGAAATACACGTAATAATTGGTATCAGAGCCTCGTTTCCAACGACGGGATCTAGGAAAGATGCCTTCAACGAGATCGCTTTCCACCGTTGTAGAGGCGAAGGTCATACCCCTGATTTTTGTTGTCCAATTCATCCAATCGGCGACGAGAAGGGTGATGATCCCATGACCCCACGTGATGGTGTGAGAAAATGACGTAAACGGCTGTTCTGGAATAGCGATTGCGGTTCAACCATTGGCTCAAGAAGGATGTACAAGGGAGTCTTTCTGTCCTACCGGAGGAAGAGGAGGAAGAAAGAGCAAGAACATTCGAACGAGGCATGTGTTGGGTTGGTCCAACTCATATGGTGGTTGGATTAACCGGTTTGAGTTTGGGTTTTTGGCTGGTTTCTAGAAGATCCTCTATTTTCAAAATAGAGAGTTATTGCTACTGAAAAGTGAAAATAGTTGACAGCCTTTCATTTGTAGAGAGAGAATCAGAAAAGAGAAGAGATAAGGAAAAAGAGAGAAGAGAGGAAGAGCTGCAGTTTTTCGTTTCTGCAGCAGGGCAGCCTGTTCAAGTGAGCGTTCTGGAAGATTGCACCGTTGGATCGTCCTGAAATTTGGACAGTGGGTTCGCGATTCTCTGGGCTTCATTCTGACCGGAGGGATCGTCATTCTGAGGTCTATTTCGTCGGAATCGTTCCTAGACAGAAGGTGTACGAATCTGTCTTTTGGTATCTCTAAACCTCTCTTTGTCTTGCTCTTGTTCTTGTTATCCACCATGTTGGTGAGAGCTATTATGGTTGATTGTTGATCCAAGAAAGGTGTTCTTGAGGTATTTGTAATCCTCTAGCTAGTCTAGAGAGGACTTGTAATCCCACCAAAGTCTAGTGGAGTTGTGGCTTGGACAAAGGTCCCGTGGTTTTTCCCGATTTGGGTTTTCCACGTAAAAATCGTGTGTCTTGTGCATTCTATTCTTGCTTGTGGTTGCTGCCCGGTTTCTCAACAGTGGTATCAGAGCCTGGTTGTTTGGGGGCTGTGTTTGGTGAATGGCAAGAATGGATGACTCAAGTGGAGCAATGATTAAGTTGACATCATCCAACTACTCTATTTGGAAGCCACGGATGGAGGATATTTTGTTTTGCAAGGATCTCTATGAGCCAATTGAAAATGGCAGCGAGAAGCCGGAAGACAAAACCGAGAAGCAATGGGAGGTCTTGCATAGAAAGGCGGTGGCAATCATTCGACAATGGATTGACCAAAGCATCTTTCATCATGTTGCAAAAGATACAAGAGCAGATGAATTGTGGCAGAAATTGGAGTCCATGTATGAGAGGCAATCGGCTCAAAATAAAGCCTCACTCATTCGAAGAATTGTGAACTTGAAGTACAAGGATGGACATAGTGTCTCGGAGCATTTGAGTGACTTTCAAGGGCTTGTGAACCAGCTAACTACTATGAAGTTAGCACTTGATGATGAAGTGCAAGCATTGTTACTTCTCAGTTCTTTGCCGGATAGTTGGGAGACTTTGGTGGTCTCACTTAGCAACTCAGCACCTAATGGCAAGTTGACGATGGACATTGTCAAGGATAGCATGCTGAATGAAGAGGCAAGGAGAAAAGAGTTGGGGATTACATCGGAGTCACATGCTTTGGTGGCGGATAATTCTGGAAGTCGTGGAAGAAGCAGAAATAGAAATTCCAACTTCAAGAACTCTCAGAATCGAAGTAACAGCCGAGGGAGATCAAAAGGGAGATCAAAATCATTGTCAAGACCAAGAGGAGAAATCACATGTTATCATTGCAACCAGCCCGGACACATAAAGAGAGAGTGCAGAATCTTG